TAAAGTTGTGAAATTTGTATTCACTGTGGAACTCAGAAAACCGTGAATACCAGAAATATTCGAGGAATGTAATTGTGTAGCATGGAAAAACCAATTAAGCGCGAGAAAACTAAACCGCTAACACCAGGGCTGTTCCGGAAACGCGCAGTGCGGAGTGTAAAAAAAAAAAATAATAATAATACAAAGATTACAAAAAAATTAATAGAAAAATTAGAAATGATATAAAATTTAAAAGTGAATTGAGAGAATAACTAAATACATAAATCAACTAAGAATAGAAGTTTAAGAAATAATATGATAAAAACTCACACCGTCTGAAGTGGACCGTTCATATCGCGGTCATTTCATTTAGTCAAAATTGTATATTCAACTCACGAGCTCACGTTTAAGTTCATTTGCGTTCCAGGATCATTTGCGAGCCTGTGCAGAGATCATGACAAACGTGTCTGGAAAAGGGTAAAGTGAAACGCCATTTAGATAAAAAGAAAAAAAAAAACGTGGAAAAAAATTACAAAGCATTTTGAAGCTTCTCTTTTAAGCACGTGCTCCGCATGACAATACACTATTTGGGCCAATCATCTCTGATTGCTTGATTTGACAGGCATGCGCCTATAACTGGTTTAGGCGCCGCCTTATTTCCCTTACAAGTCATCCCGTCTGGGTTTTTGAAAACGGCAACCTTACAAATACCAGCGGAACAAAATGGAGGAATCTTCTCTCGAGAAGCGGATGAATATAAGCTTAAGAAGGGAACGCAAACCTTCTTGTACCCTCTGTAAAAATCACGGAATGCGATCGAATCTCAAAGGACACAAACGGCACTGTCCTTTCTCGAACTGTGACTGCGAACCATGTGTCAAGGGAAGGCAAAGAAGAGTTGTGATGAGAGAGCAAGTTCGTCTTCGGAGAAAACAGATGAAAGATATCGAAAGTCGCTCTAACAGTGTTGCACCCGTCGAACCATTTCAAGGTAAGAAAGAAAAAGGGAAGCTGAAATGTAAGCTCAATGTTTGTTGTTTTTCGCCGCAAATGAATTCTTCTATTTGAAGTTCTTTTAGCTTGGGCTCGTAAAACATCCAGGTGAACTGTCTAGCTCAGTTTTGCAAAGTTTATGCTCAATATGTTTGTTTACATTTTAAAGGGATAGTTTGGTTTTCTCAGAAGTTGAAAAATGTTTACGCAGTTTTGGTAAACTTGTTTCAAGTTGTAAGTCTTTACTTGAAGTTTGCGTAAACATGAAAACGTTTCTTGTTAAACTTCGTAATTGTTTAATGCTTTGGGGAATCGTTCTAATGACTACTTTCTTAAATTTAATGGTTTTCCTTGCACTGCAGCATACTTCACTTACCTTACTGTTTTGATCAAATTGCAGTGAATTTTTCCCTCGCCGCGGTGAAAACTGAATTAAGCTTACCTCCCACCAACGAACACAGAAGCTTCGGGGACGAAAAAGAATTAGCCATCATGAAACACTGCGGAAGAAACGAAGGCTTGACCCACAGCGTGTCCAACATTTTGCATTCACAGTTCAGCGTTCCTAGGCAGCAGTCCTTCAACTGTAGCGCTTATATGCCAACTCCTTTCCAGCTTCGGTGGAATACTAGAGATGTATTCTCGGGCTTTCCTTCTTACAACAACT